ATAATGGCTTCTGGTTCACTGTTCATCGTACCCACCTCTACGACCACAACTGGTTCCCTTTGGATGTCTTTGGACAAAGGCCGATCTGAAATTGCTACTTGATTTTTCTTCCCCTCTTCCTTTCCTGAGTTTACCAGTTCCTCATTCTGCTTCGGAACTGATTTGGTTTGATCCCCAAGCAGCATTAATTGTCTTTTGGAATCAGAAGTTTGCCCATTTTCTTGATAATGCTTGACTTCAAGAAAAGGTTCCTTCCTTCTGAAATCCCTAACAGCGTCATCTCCCACCTTCGCTTTACCTTGTAGAATTTTCTGCCTCCTTGAGATTTGGCTTTCTCGGCTCAGAATTCTTAGACTCAAGTTCCTTCTTTTTTTGGCACTCCTCTTCCACATGTCCTTCTTTATAACATTTGGAAATTTTTTTACAACTCTCTCATATATTATTTTCTGCCATCTCCCTTTGTATCCTCCCATCTCTATCTGGATCCCTTCAGGGTTATCTTCTAAGATATTCATCTCTACACAAGCACATGCCACACTCGACCTTGAGAGGCTTAACGTAGGTTTGTCAAAAGCCAAAATTCTGCCAATGGGACTAAAATTCGCTGCTATACATTCATTCGTAACGAGACTCATAGGTAAAGAAGGTAAAGAGACCGACATGGAAACCACCGATGGCTCTACTCCTGGCGTGAAATCTGGAGCCCACTTGAAAAACATAAATAGGTGCCCTTCAATATAAGTAACATCCTTTAACCAAACTCTTACATAATGCTCAAAAAGACTAAATCTCATCACTATGTGTCGTGGATCCAAATGACCAACAAAAAATTCTCCTTTGATATTCCACTTGGTGCTTATGAACTTGCTGATCACCACAAGCGATGGCCTTCTATGCGCATTTTGCAATCAGCGATTGTTGGTAAGGCTTAGAAAGATCATCCATCTCCTCCTTGGACCAATAAATTACATGTTTTCCTTTATCGAAGACACTTGTTTTGGCTTTTTCTTGGCTGGATCTGTTGGCAGTTTATTAAAAGAAGTAGCATGTGGTCGTTGAAGGATCAATGCAAAGGTTTTAGGTTTGTCTGGTGGCTTTGGCTGATTAAGAAAAGCAGATTGATCAAAACTCATGATGAAAAAGGTATAGAGAAGTCAGAGCTTCTCTCTCTAGAAAAGTTATCGCAGTTAAGCTGATTGATCAGCTCCTGCTGTCTGCCAAGTTTTCCAGTGAATGCTCAATGCAGCAGAGGACTACGGTCTGTAGTCTTACCACGCCCAAACCAACCCTATGGTCAATCTAGTGTTCCTAATGCTCTAGACACCCTTGAGTTGGTTCTTCAAGCTCCGGATTTCCTTTGCATTTGATAGTTGATGTGCATTGCTTCCGTGAGCTTGATGTACAACTTTTCTTCACTCTTTTGATATCTTCCTTGTTTTCTTCTATTGTGCTAATATAATCCTGAAATTGCTAGTACTAGTCCTAACAGTTTGAGTTGTTCAAGTCTATGGGTATGAATGTGCTAATATCTTCCTGAAATTTCTCGTACTAGTTCTAACAGATTGTGTTCTTCAATATGAATGTGCTAATATCTTCCTTGTGTTGCACCAAGTTGGATTAAACTCTAAATAACAAAATTAAAAAAGTTGAAATAAACTCACTAAATTATTGGTTTCTTAATAATAAAAAAGTTCTTTGCAAAGGTTTTGGATTTGACTCCATAGCTAATTTCATGTTTTGTTTTACTTAGTTGGAGGCAATAATTTACAGTTGAGAGATATTTATTTTTTCTGTTTTCCAACTAAATTTTGTGATTGTTTTTTATGACTTTTCTGTTAGCTTCTTTATGACTTCATCTGTACAGATCCCGATATGCTTGAAGTGGAAAATGGGGGGATGACTAAAGATGAATATATCGTCCATTTTAGAATTTGGGCCATTTCCAAGGTCTCTCTCTCTCTCATGTAACCAAAATCTTTTCTTCATACATATTCGGGCCTTCCGTTCCGCCTTTGATGGTACCTACTTGTTTCTTTGACTATATTTTGCTTTCTAATTGCCTTTATAATTGCAGGCTCCCCTTCTCATTGGCTGTGATGTGAGAAATGCATCAAAAGAGACCAAGGAAATCATCTCTAATAAAGAGGTGATTGCTGTAAACCAAGGTAAGCACTTTTCTATTTTATTTTTTTTTTGTTTTTTTTGTGGGGGGGTTGTTTTTGGGGGGAGGGAGAAAGGTAGAATCACAGATTTTCCACACACTTACATTTTGCTGATCATTGGAGTAGATCCACTTGGTGTTCAAGCTAAAAAGGTTAGGATGGAAGGTGGTCATGAGGTAACTTTGCCAACATTGTCTTGTGACCCGTCTGTTACCTGTTTAAAAATGCAAAATATTATCCGCATTTTTCTTTTACAGGTCTGGGCCGAGCCTCTTTCAAACTATAGAGTAGCTGTACTCCTTGTCAACCGTGGCTCTTGGCGTAATTCCATCACAGTGCACTGGGATGATATTGGAATTCCTCCTGCCAGTGTTGTGATTGCAAGAGACATTTGGGAGGTATTCATATATGCACTGACCTTGGGTTAGACCCAAATTATCTTTTTGCAATGTGTATCTTGCTGGTGTTTCTCATACGATTCACCAATGCAGCATTTCTACTTTGGGGGGAGTTTAATATGTTGTTGTCTCATCTGCAGCACAAAACATTGAAGGCGCTATTTGTAGGGAACTTGACATCCACCATGGATTCTCATGCATGCAAGATGTATATATTGAAGCCTATATCCTGAGGTTTTTGATATGTATGCAACTTGTAGTGGAATCCTTGAAGTGTCAGTGGTTTTTCTAGTTTCTTCGGTTTGTATGACCATTAAACCAGTGTCACTTAATCATTTATTATGGAATAAAATTGTCACTTCCAGTTTATGGCACAATTTAGTTACTAATAGCAGGGGAAAAAAGAGGGAAAGTAAGGTCCCCTTTAACACGAGTGTTTATATAAAATGACTTTGGTTCTTATAAGGGTTGCACAACTGGATTATATCCCAGTTTTGCACTTTTCATAGAGGCAAGCTGCCTACAGATTTTTATTTACTGTGAAACCTGGTGAGGTCAACAATCAGTGCACTGTGCTGTGGTTAAAATAGGCTGGCTAGATTGGGGAAAACTGACTGTAGCAAGGTGTAGGTCTGTGGTTAAAATGGTTGGGGCTTTTGTGTTACCCCACTGTTTGTTCACCTTCCTTGGCAGAAATGTCACATAAAAGAGATGTCGGTGTCTTTCTTAAATACACTTTCTGAAAGAATGTTTTCAGTTTTCACATTTATACCCTCATGATAATAAAATATAAAAAAAAAATAAAGAGTTTCACTCACATCTCTTGTAGATCGTAATATCTTATAGAAATCTCTTGCATTATTTGAAATATAAGTACACTTCCTCCTCCTCCTCCTCCTTTTATTTATTTTTATTTTACTATAGCATAAGTACACCTCCTTCTTTCTTATCGTGAGAAACTGCTACTAACAACTTTCAATAAGATAAACAAGTTTTTTGGGTAGCATAATGTAACCAAAGTTTATGTCAACAACATCAATTTTATTCCCCAGTTTGTAGATGTAATGATTATTAAAAATTGCCCTAATGTTAGCTTAATGAAATACTACAAAATGTAAATAAATTTAGAAAAAAAAAAGATAAAAAATCATTATTCATGATAATAAAAAAACAAAACAAAAAATGATATAATTATTTTACAGTTGAGGTATAAGTTATAGTTTTAAATATGTGTGGACATCGGTGTACAAGCATCTTTAGTACAAACAAACAAACACCGACAGGAAAGTCAATGACATTGAAATAATGGGGTTGTGTATAATGTGGCAATTGAGGAAGAAAAAAAAAAGAAAGAGAAGGCACAAAAAAATATTTGGCCCCTAAACTTTGTTTCAAAATTTATTTAAGTCCTTTTAATTTTACGTCGTTTCAATTTAGTCATTTAATTTTACGATTAGTTGTATTGTTGACAAATCTCTGTTGGATATTTGAATGAAAAATAACCACATGCAAAATACATGACTTATAGACATGGGCAAATATGTGAAGTTACATAAAAAAATAAAAAATAAAGAAAAGGAAACTGAAGTTATATGAGGGAACAACCATGTTGTCTCCCCCATGCTCAAGTCCAAAGAAAAAGACAAGCGCATAAAATATGAGTGTTTTTTTGAAGTTGACATCCATCTGATGATTAAAATACATGCACGAGTTTCTTGGTATTTTTGTAGTGAAAATTTGGAGTGAGTGTAGATTAGTCATTTTTTACCTTAAAAGGTACGAACATGTAATTTTTAAGGCTTTATGTTAATGTATAACGCATATGGTCCATAATTGTTAATTCTTATATTTTTAATGACTATAATAGTCCTTATATTTATTACACACTATTTTTCTCTTTCACTCTCTTCTGTTCTATTATTTTTCTCCCTTCTCACTCATCCCTTTGTGGTCCTATTCTCTCTCCTACGTCCAATCTATCTTTTTTAAATTACTTTTTTTTCTCTCTCTCTTTGTCCCTCTATGCGATCCTACACTCCCTTAATTTTGTTTTTTAAATTTCTTTCTCTTTTCTATTTCTTTCTCATCGCCGACCCAACCACTGGCCTGCTAAAAGTTAAACTACAGGTCCCACTCAGATGGAAAGTCCCAAACTTTTGTGTGTATCAATAGTACGTGTCAAAATTTTACCTTCTTAATATTTTTAGGCCTAACAAAAAGGCCTTATAAGAATATAACCTAACTAGAAAATTTTAAGCCCATAATGTAACCCATAACATCCAAAACCCAAAAGAAAAAAAAATAAGCTAACATTAAAATTAAAAAACAAAGCAAATGTGAACTCATTCCCACATCAACCACCCATACTCTCTCTCTCTATCTCAAATGTGAACTTATGTGACCCATGCCTTTTCTAGTTTGTTAATTTTAATTTTTTCATGATTAGTACAACACAAAAATCTAATAAATTATTTTTTTACAATTCTAATTTGTATCAATTGTAACATTTTTGTAGTAAATCATCATAATTAGACATTATAAGAAAAATAACCTGTTTGATTTGGTCTCATCAAAAGAAATGGAACTTGAAGGAGAAATTTAATTTAATATTTTGTGACAAGAAAAACATTAATTTCATAGAAAAAATAATTTGACGAGATTGTGGATAGTGAAGTAAATATATGAAAATAATTCTGAGTTTTATTTTGTTTTGAAATGTTATAAATCTATAAATGACTTAGCTATATTATTTATTGAGAATAATATATGAAAAAAATTGAAATATCGCAACTTAATTTTGTATTTCCTCATTTTGAAAAAATATATATATTGAATGAATACAATTTAATATTTATTATTGTTATTTTATTAAATATTAGTAGGACATCATTTATAAAATTTGCTTTAGGCCCCCAATTCCATTGGGCGGCCATGCTCTTCCTTAAATTCATTTATATCTGTTGATGGAGAGTTAAATGGGTTCATACACATCATTGTCAAAGAGACCCAATAGAAGGGTATGTCGGATGGAGGAGGATAGGAGAGAGGGAGAGAGACAGACTGCCTCCTCTAGGCTTGGAGCTATGGATTTACATTCCTCTCTCTCTGTCTTGTGATAATGTAAGGGTATTTATAGAGGAAAGCCACAAATGTGATGTTGTCTCAGTTTCTCATGTTGGGAATTTGGGCAAATCTTACTTTGCACCCTAAAAGATACATTGTTTCTCACTTTACACCCTAAAAGATTAATTGTCTTACATTGCACCCTCAATCGAACACACTTGTTGCAATGTGCACCTGTCGTCAGATTTTGTTTTTATTTTTGTCAACTCCCACCTGCATGTGAGAAGCACATGTTCCCTCTAGACAAAATGGTAAAACACCACCTCAGACCTCACTGTTTGTTTGCCCTAGACCTGTCTCAGTTTTGCCCTACAAAGTTGACGCCCCTCTTGCTATTTGACCTCATCAATTCATAACTTAAAAGTCAAAAAAAAAAAATTGGTTATAATCCTATCCACCAAGAACAAGATCAGTTTGATCGATTACCAGATGTTATTGTTCTTCCAATTTTCAACAAATTCCAGGATACAAATTCATATTGTCAATGCATTTTACTCTGTTAGCTTTTGGGTTCCATCGTCTCTGAAACCCAAACCATTTCCATCACAATTCCTCACAGAAATTCTATACTTATCAACAACAAAAATATCAACCAACCCCATGATTATCAAAATTCAAGACCAAACCCTCCTAGCCAGAGGGGTTTTTTCAATAGTAATGTTAACTAAGTCACCATAAAACCACTCCAACTCCTTCAAATCATCAAAGCCAAGTCCTCATCACATTCACACCGTGCAAAAGGCAATTATTAGGATTTCTACTATTCCCTAAATGAAATTTTGAGCAGTTTCAAGGAGATTTGATCTTTGCAAATTGAGCTACCTGGCCATGGTGGTGAACTTGGATCAAACAACATAAACAAATGCTTCCTCTTCTAGTTTTTTAGGGCAAATGTTGGAGCCTAAGGTGGTGTTTTACTATTTTGTCCAATGGGAACACATGCTTCTCACATGCGGCTGAGAGTTGACGAAAATAGAAACGGAATTTGATGAGAGGTGCACATTGCAACAAGTATATTAGATTGAGGGTGCAATATGGGACACTTAATCTTTTAGGGTGCAAAGTGAAAAAATATGTATCTTTCAAGGTATAAACTGGGATTTGCCCTGGGAATTTTCATTTATATCATAATATCACTCTTCATGATGTACTACTTATACTAGATTTCAAATTCAATCTTTTGTCCATTAGTAAAATCACAAAGTCAATAAATTATGTTGTTCTCTTATACCAATTTTTTACATCTTTCAGGACCTAACCACGAAGATAGTGATTGGAGTGGGCGAAGAACGTTGAGACTCTATTATTTCAAGCCCGTTGCTCACACAACCTTACAATTGAATTGACCTCTTTAGTCCAATGTGGCATCAACGACTTGGTCACCTATCTAATTCTTGATTACCTCATTTTTTATTTGATTCAAATCAAGTGCAAAATTGTGATGTATGTACCCAAGGAAATCATATTGGGCCTCTTTTTTCTTTTGTCTTAAATAAAAGCACATTTATCTTTGATCATATTTATGGTGTTATTTGGGGGGGGGGGGGGGGGGGAGGTTGTCACACACCATCCATGGTTGTTGCTTATTATTTTTTGATTATTGTGGGTGATTTCTCTAAGGTCACTTAGGTTTATTTGATGAGGCTCAAATCTAAAATTTTTCCATGCCTTACAAAATATATATATATATATATTATATATATATAATATATATATATATATATATATATATATATATATATTTTACCGTGGTTTAAATGCAATTTCAATGTTAAATTCAAACTGATAATGGTCAAGAGTTTCGATCCCATCTTGCACAAAACACAAGGAGTCATCCATGAAATCACCTGTGTCGATACTCCACAATAAATTGGTATGGCAAAAAGCAAGCATCCTCATCTTCTCAATGTTGCTCAGTGCTTGCGTTTTCAAGCCAATCTCTCACTTACTTTTTGGGGTGAACTTACTCTTATAGCGACCTATTTAATAAATCAAACTCCTTCCCCAATCCTTGGACTCACTTCCCCCAATAAGCATTTTTTTCAACAAAACAACTCGTTATGATCATTTAGAATTTTTGGGTGTTTATGATATGCCCAAACGTTACGCT